TAAATGTACTTACCGCTGAATATATCACACACTGAGGCCTTTTTTCTGCAGAATAAGTGCTTTTATATTTGCTGATAATACTTTAAGTAAGTAGCACTTTTAAGTGTAATGGAGTATTTGAACGTAATTGTCTTGGTACTTTTAAGAAATGTATATTTACTCATCCACCTCCTTCTTCTTCCTCTTCCTCGTCTCTGTTGCACGTTTGCATGTTGTATCACTTCCTCGTCTGTTTGATGTATTTCCTGTAGGAAAACGGTTCATATCTTCAGTTCCAGACGCGTTGTATAAATGTGTGTTTAAATGATTTCTGTTGTAGCTTCATCATCTAATTCATTGACATCTCCTCTGTGGCTGGAACTCATGCCTTGCTTTTGGGCGCTTTATCGTCCTCTTCATCGACTTTCCTTACTAACATGGGTTTGAATCCTGAGTGCCGGATAACTACAGAAAAGATCACACGTTTTATTCACAATCTTTCCTTTTTTAAGCTTTATTTTGGTCATGCATAGCTACCTCTGCCTTCCACTGACTTGCGTTACTCTGCAGAAAAGAGAATGATGCACGTACAGTATGCCTTTCAGGGCCATTGTAGTGTTTTAAGAATAAGACAAAAAAGGCACTCATTTTATAATTTGAAGAGACATAAAATTGGATATTCTTTAGGATTGAAGTGACACATTTACGAGATGAAATTCAGACATTTCTGGGTTTTTTTTTTGTCAAGGAACACGGAGATATGCGTCTGAATCACTGTGGTGTTCGTTCTGAATAATGGCTGCTTGTTATTATAATATGCTGATAGTGGAAGACAATCACAGGTGTTTGCTGACGGCTGAATCTGATGTCAAAGTATAATTTAGTAAGGTCATATTGAGTGTGTGTGCTGCGTAATACACGGCAAGTGTGTGTGGTGAGAATATGTGTTTATTTCTCGAGCCCTTAACTCGCTGGTATGATCTCACACATGTTGCCGCTTGTTTGTACAATTTTCAGGCGATTTGTAATCTATTCTAGAAAAACAAGAGATTTCAAGAAGCGTAGGAACAAACAATGGATGTCTTTTATGAACATGTATCCACGATGGAATATGTAGCTGTTTTAGGAGTTAGATAAAGATTTTAGATCTAACCATGCGTCCCATGGAGCATTGCGTGAAGTCGAATCAGAGGCTGTTGTTTTACCGTATGACGAATGGCACAACTATCCTTCTTGACATAAAAGCGCCATGAGTTTTTGTTGTAAATATTGTAGATACATATTGATTTTGGTGCTTTTTCTATTCTTTCCCCATGGTCACCAAGACGTGAAATAACGATTTTCTGATTCCAAGAGTCGTGATTTCTGAGTGATAAGATTTTAGTCTTGCTTTCTCTTTTGTACGTATGGTCTCATAACTATTTGCACATCCATGTGACATCCCTGCAGCCTGCATGTGCTGATAGCTTAGCTTGTTATGAAAAGAAACATGTATATTCTTGATTATGCAGCACAGGGTTCATGTTTTAAAAGCATTTTTACAAACTAAAAGCCCAGGCGTGTAAAGAGGCTTAGACCTCAGACGGTTGATCTCAGAGAATGGCTGATTTTGTCTCTAAATGTCTGACTTTATAATCCCAGAGAATAACGGTGTGTTTCTCCTCATTGTCTTACTACTTTGAACTTTCCTACAATGTCCCTAACATGTCCTGAAGCTACCCAGATGCATGAATTAAAATAAGACCATCCTTTATAGCAGATGTACTGTAAGAAGAAAAGGCTAAAGAATAGGGATGTTTTATTTAATTTTTAAGTGCCCTTGTTACCCTGCATTCATCTACCCCTGAATGTTTACTTCCTGCTTCCCTGTGATTGGCTCACATGGCTGTCCGCTGCGTTCCTATTGGCAGGGAGAGTACGTGTCCTGCCTGCTGTCGCTCCTCCGTCAGATGACAGACATCCACTTCCAACGACTGGTGGAAAACTTCCAGAGCAAAGAGGAGCTGAAGGTACGAGAAGAAGCAGCTTTTAATGAATGACATATTAAAATAGTTAGAGTCACTGTGCAACGCTTCAGGCAGCAGCTATTAATACAATATGTCAACGTTTGAATACACTAAAAGTCTAAAATGTGTTACTTAAAGGTGGGGTAGGTAAGTTTGAGAAGCCGTCTCGAGATACACTTTTTGTTATATTCCATGGAATGCTCTTAACATCCCGATAGCAATGAATATCTTAAAAAAATTAAATGAAAATCCATAAAAAAATATCATCTGTTGAAGCCGTAATACTGTAAAAAGCACGACCAATCATTTTAGCCGGCCCGGCTAAAATAACTGGATGGCCTACCTGCCTGTCAGCCTTCCATCTGTGCACAAACTTATCTCGTGCCCTCATTGGTCATGTGCGCGTTCGTGTGTGTTGGAGGAGGGGCTCTGTGAGGAAGTGGCAGATTTTTTCGTTACTCTGAGATGCATTACATTCCTACCAGTATTTTCCCTTTGACAAACATAAGTGTTTTTTATATCTAACCTATTTAAACCAAAGTTTAGAGGAATTAAATAAATGTTTTGGGACCACTTTGAAAATAGGGTTAGTTTGTTTTTAATGTGTTTGGTTAGTGTTAGTGTTTTTGAGATTGTTAATGTTCCTGAGTAATACATCAACTCTCTCCAATTCTAGCTATTTACTTAAACCCTTAAATGGTTTCTGTATTCTGGGGGATACAGTCATTTGAGAGGCTGTGTCCATGTATACAATTGGTTTAATAACACTCTAACATAGGTATAATATGGGTGTAATAACAGTGTAATAAAGGTGTAATATGTGTGTTATAACAGTGTAATAACAGTGTAATAACAGTGTAATATGGGTTTAATAACAGTCCAAAATGGGTGTAATATGGGCGTAATAAGGGTGTAATTACCATCTAATAACAGTGTAATATGGGTGTAATAACAGTGTAATAAAGGTGTAATATGTGTGTAATAAAAGTGGGTAACACTTTATTTTGATAGTCCATAGTTAACACTCTATAAGTCATCAGTTGACATTCAACAACACTGTTTCAACAGACAAGTAACATGCATTTAACTAACTGCCAGTAGAATATAAGGTACATCTCAAGTGTTGATTTATAGATTGTACAAAAAGTGTCTGTTGACTGTCAACATGTTTTTTGCAACAGGTTATTAACCGATATTCAACCTTACTATCTGTAGATTGTGTCAACATCTTCAAAATTGACAATCAACTACTCAAAATCAATCTGTCAGTTGAAAGTCAACAGGGTCATGTCGACTATCTGTTGATAATCTGTTGAGAGTCAAGATGTCAACTAAAGATTACATTACTAAGTCAATAAGCATTAGTTGATGATCAACAGATAAGCAACTAGAGTTTAGTTGACTATCTGTTGATTGTCAACTAATCTAGAGTTGACTATCAGTATACTTTTAGTAGGTTCTCCACTGAGTGTTTGTAGGCATGTGTTAGGACTATCCCATTAAAGTGAAAAACAGTTGAGAACAGTAGAAGTAGTAGTCACTTCGTAGTCCTTTAGTAGGATTGAATGTGGTTCACAACTGTTCAGTGTTTTTACTTGTAGTATATTATTAAAATAAAAAAGCTTTCTTTCTCTGATATGCTGCATATAGTGTTTGTTCTACTGTGCTTTATAGCCTGGCATTGACTTCAGTTATCCAGTGTTCGTGATCAGTTGTGCAAAAGATTTCGCTTTATTCCCATGTCTGTTGCATATAATTAGTGGATGAATGTGTTCTGTTGATAGGTTATAGACTTTCTACTGTTCTCAACTGTTTTTCACTTTAATTGGATAGTCCTAACACATGCCTACAAACGCTTACTGGAGAACCTACTAAAAGTATACTGATAGTCAACTCTAGATTAGTTGACAATCAACAGATAGTCAACTGAACTTTAGTTGCTTATCTGTTGATCATCAACTAATGCTTAGTGTAATAGTCAACTAAACTTTAGTTGCTTATCTGTTGATCATCAACTAATGCTTAGTTACTTGTCGGTTTGAACGGTGCTGTTGAATGTCAACTGATGCACTGTTGACATGCTACTAAATGTCAACTGATGACTTATAGAGTATTAACTATGGACTATCAAAATAAAGTGTTACCTAAAAGTGTTATAACAGTGTAATAACAGTGTATTAACAGTGTAATATGGGTGTAATATGGGTGTTATAACAGTGTTATAACAGTGTAATATGGGTTTAATAACTGTCCAAAATGGGTGTAATATGGGCGTAATAAGGGTGTAATAACAGTCTAATAACAGTGTAATATGGGTGTATAATAATACATGACACTTATATACCGGGGTTTTTTAAACTCAAAGACGCTTACGTAATATGTGACCCGCTCTATCGAAATCAGTCGGAAGTCGCAACGGCTCATTTTAAAATAAACGTGGATTTGCGGGGTTCGGGTGTTTTCGGGTGTTTTGTTCGATTTTAAATAAACAAAGTCTTGGCTTTCAGAATATGAAACTTTTATTTCCAAAATCACACGATAAATACATGTTGGAAGCTTGTAAAGGGAAGATGACACCTCTCACTTGCCATTCTGCTCTTCCTTAGCGCCGCCCCCCTCCCTCCGCTAAAATTATGAATGTAAGGCATATAGTAATCATAGATAACACGGCAGGGTCCGTTACAGTTTGTTTTCATCTGATTTCAAATAAACAAAGTCTTGGCTTTCAGAATATTAAACTTGTTTCGGCAAATTCAGATGATAAATACAACTTTGAAGCTTGTAACGGCATAATTACAAGCGGAGAACGGAGTAACTTTACGTCACAGCAGCCGGTGTTTCTCCTGAGTGTTTTCCCCGGGAAACAAACACAATACACACAAACGCAAAAATACACACACACACACACACACATATATACACACACACACACATATATACATACACACACACACACACACACACTTCCCCCAGACCAGTAATCCAAACGAAAATATTTTCCCTCCGTACTATTTTGATCATTTGCTCATAACCAATCAGATCGATGGATTCCAGAGAGGAGGAAACTTTGAAGGCCTTTTCCTCAAAATGATGACTCTGTAACAGTCATTATATAATGTGACATATTTTGCTTAATATTTGGAGTACAACAACAATCCTGATATCATTAGAAAGCTAAGAATCTCCTCTTTCCAACAGTGTATACAACTCAAAATGTGTCTTCGGGTCAATGCGACTGATTTCGATGGAGCAGGTCACATATGGGTGTAATAACAGTTTTATGTAGAAATTAGCAATCAATAAATGTTCCTAAATATTTATATATGAATGCCCATTTAAGGGTTTATTACTACTTGTTTTTATTCTCAGGCTTCAGATGATCAGGTTGTTTAATTTCACAAGTCTCCGTAAATTGACAGCCGATCCTGTTTTCATGAGTATTGATGTAAAGATGTTTATTATTATTTGACATTAACGGACCTCCTCTTTTCCTCCTAATCTCTCTCCAGGAGTTCTTGTTGAAGATCTTGTGTGTGTTCAGAAATCTGATGAAGCTCAGCATTTTCCCTCGAGACTGGAACATCATGAGGCTGCTCACCAGCAAGTAAGACCCCAATAAGAGTCATAATAACAATAACAGTAATATTATGACATGGTATTTATGTAGCGCTTTTCCTGGTGCTAGTAGAGAAGTAGAGAAAATGACATAATAATAACTAATAATATAAATTACATAAATAATAACAATGATTTCTACAGCACGGTTTTCTAAAGCAATGTTCATTTCATGTGCAGAAAAGAGAATCAAATAAATATAAAATATAATATAATATATTTGTTTAAGTATGACAGCGTATTGAATGCATTGTAGTCTAAATAAAAATTTAAAAAAAACGTGAACATTGTGTGAATTCAAGGGAAATACATTTGGATTATCTCTGAGATTGAAGTGAAACTTTTATAAGATAAAATAGAAAATATACCATTGTTTTTTCCACCAAAAGCAGCAACAATACAAAAGGTAATTCAGAAGAAAAAAGCAGATGCAACATAGACAAAGATGCATTTAAGAACAGATTCAGACTTTGCAGAACATACATGTGCATAAGACCTCTTTGCTCTTTTAATACTAGTTGAACATTACATTTTTACATTTGTATGTGTTTTTATACGTTTCTAGTTATTGTGCTTTTTATCAAGTTTTTAATGATTGTTTTATTATTTCACTCCCATTGTATATTGTATGTGTTCCCTGTACAGCACTTTGGGCAACTGAGGTCGTTTTTTAAATGTGCTATATAAATAAAAAAAGATTGAGATTGAGATGGGAAGTGTTTCACATTACAGCCTGTTTTATTTCTGTGATTGTTCTGCAGCATCATCCTGACCACAGCTCAGTACCTCTCTCCCGCTCTGCACAAGAACTTCACTGAAGCTGAGTTTGACTTTAAGGTACGGGACTTTAACCCTTAGATGCACGAGTGACTGGACCCTATTAGAATAATATGTGTTTTTATGCCATTGTTGTCATTTTGGTTAAGAAAAATCACTTGTATAATATTTAGTATTATATTTTGGTTCACACTAGAAATATTTTATATTTAATTTTTCACTATTTATAATTTTAGAAATTTTTTTTACATTTTGAAAAAAAGCGTTTTGAACATATTGATGCAAAGATCTCCGCTATTCTGAGACCCTCACAGTATTCCAGTCCCTTTTCAAAACTCATCTCTTTTCATCTTGTCTACTCATAGCCCACCCCCCATCAATCCATTCCGGTTGATCAAGTTTGATAGTCCTATACCCCCCACCCTAACCTTCCCTTATATTGTAAAGCGATTTTGAGTCCTTGAAAAGCCCTATACAAATATAATGTATTATTATTATTATGATTATACTGACAGGTATCAGATCTTGCTGTGTAAAATAATCTTCCTGAGAGGTGTCACCTGTGATGTAGTCTGTGTGGTCCACAGTGAATGTATTCCTGACAGCAACAGGTGATAAGAATCAAAGGTTCCCAGAGGATCCCATAGAAAATGCATCCGGGTAATTTTTGACCCACTTACAGTATGGAAGCTTGGGGTAGTAATACAAAAACTACAATTTCTTAAAATGTAAATTTAAAATGTGAATGGCATGATATCCAAAACATGTTTTTTGAGGAATAGCTGGAATATGAAATGATAAACAAATGTAATTACAAAGATACTTCAAGAAAACCACCTCACCGGGTCCAAAAAGACCCACTTATGCATCTAAGGGTTAACAGACACACAATCACACAATCACAAATGAAGAGAGAGGGGAGAAGCCATTCGTTTTACCAGTAGCAATACTAAATGATATGTAAAAAAGCACTCTACAACACTACAATTAAGAGTCATGCATTTCAAACAATACAGAAAGTAAGTAAGGCCCATTTCAGAATCATATATATTAAATGATTGTGATGCATTTATATGTTCATCACTTCAGTGTTGCACTTGGTAAAGGTGGGCTTTATTTGAATGATCCTATATTTAGCTGGGTAGCTCAACCTATTATAATAGCCCAACATTTGTCGGTGAATTTGGATAGATGGTTGGACTGGTAATCTGCTGTTAGTTTGCCATCATTATATCTCTAGTCTCTTTCGCCTTACATATAATCTTGAAAATGTCTTTTAATTTCTCTATTTTAATTTACAAATGAGAATGAGAAGGAGCCTTCACTTTGCACCACGTTATATTGAAGAGACAAAAGCTGAGTGCACAGGAAGACAAATAAAATTATATTTATTTGTGCAGGTGTGGAACTCCTACTTCAGTCTGGCGGTGCTCTACATCAACCAGCCCAGTTTACAGCTGGAGACTCTGATTCCTGCCAAGAGGAAGAAGGTGCTAGACAAGTAAGAACACACACACACACACACACACACACACACACACACACACACACACACACACACACACACACACACACACACACACACACACACACACACACACACACACACACACACACACACACACACACACACACACACACACACACACACACACACACACACACACACACACTACATCCTATACAACTGGGGAAATATTGTCATTGACCAAATAAAAAAGTGATACCCTTCAAGAAGAACTAAACTGAACAATATTTAATTTTTAGAAATCAATTTAAACACCTAAAACATTTTAAGTAATATGAGTTTCCTGGATTCATGATACTGCTGCATTTATGCTGTCTAAAGATTATTTTTAAAGACTTTATCTAGCTTCAGAAGGGGGAGTATTTCCTCAACTCAACAAGAAATACTTAATTCTTTAGAAAATTAGCACGGAAATACATACATACAATAATAATAAATAATTGTGTGATTGTGTGCAGGTACGGAGACATGAGAGTGATGATGACCTACGAGCTGTTCAGCATGTGGCAGAACCTTGGTAAGATTAACTTTTTTTTTTAACAGTATAAATAAAACAAGAGAAGGAAATAAAGCCCCTTTCTGTCCTGATATTGATCACTGGCCCGCAGACAGGTAGATCTATTGTCAGATTTCTGAGTAAATATGTGTTTTCTGGTTCATCTGTAGGAGAGAATAAGATCCACTTCATCCCCGGGATGATCGGGCCGTTCCTGGGAGTGACCTTGGTTCCTCAGCTGGAGGTCAGGAACATCATGATCCCAATCTTCCACGACATGATGGACTGGGAGCAGCGCAAGAATGGGAACTTCAAGCAGGTCTGGGAAAACACCTCTTTCACATCAACTGGAGATGAACTGTAGACACAGATGTATTCATTTTAAAGGTCCTATATTGTAAAAAGAAAGTTAAATGTCCGGGTCTGTTTGGATCACCAATTATGTAAAGGTGCAATATAAATACCTTGAAAGTATCATAACGCTATGTTCCAAAACCTTACTTTTAAAGGAGAGAGGGTTATTCATCTAAATTATATCCTTTGTAGAAAATGTAGAAAAGTCGGGGAATTTAGGAAAAGTCTTGGAAGAGACACAAATAGACAAAGTTAGTCAAATAAACATCACATTTTCTTTAGATGTTTTCTCTACACCAGAGGCCTGTACTATGAAGCCGGTTCAACCTAACCTGGATATGTTTGAGTTAGCCGGTTGGCCCAATCCAAAACATACGCGCTGGCGCTAAACTGTACTACGACGCTGGTTATCAAGTGGATCGCTCAAGCCAGCCGTGTCCTATCTAGTTAGGTGCGCGTTCACATGAAAGGGGTGGTATTTGGAGCATTCGACCAATCACAAACATGGACAAGCGTACTGACAGCGCAGCGTCATACTTCCTGAATGAAAAGTGAACTTTAATATTAGTCAAATATGAAGAAGTTAAACTTTAAACATCCATGACTTAAACACTTTATCCAGGATCAAAGCCACATAGCTGCACCTGCAAGGTGAATACAGCTGGTAACAGAAAAAGTGTTTGAATGCGTACATTAACAGGTTTATGAAATCACTGCCCCGTCCAAGACACGATCTGACTTTAATTACATTTGACTTGAGTGTTTCGTCAACTTAATGTGTTGCTTAAAATAATACTTCTGCATACAGTATGTGACACTGTGAGTGTTGCACGGCCAGATACGGCTCAGCTGACTCAGATAAGGAAATATATGATACATTATGATGTGATATGATATGAATGATAATGGGACACATCGACGTCTGCAGCAGTTAACAGTTAACTACTTAATGTTACTCTGATCCGGTTCCTTATGTTGTGGCAGATATTTAAGTAAGCTTTCTTAACGCTAATGTTATAATAGTCAGATTGCTCTGAAGATGGGAGGAGATATTCTATTAATGTTCACGTTCACACAGTCAGTTGATTTTGGCCGGCCGTCTTTCCTGCAACGGCAGTTTTTCTGTATTTCCTCTATCCTGTAATATGACTTGATATCTTTAAACTCCGCACACGGAGCTCTGATTGGTCAGCAGGCGGTGCTTTCACTGAGTTGATCTCTTAGCCTGCAACCTAACCTGCTCCGGAGCAGGTTAGCCGCTCAGCATAAATTACCATGGAGATCTAGCCCGCTAAAAAGAGAACCAGCGTCGTAGGACCGGAAAGCCCGAGTTTTCCCTGAAGTCAGCCGGCTAAGAGAACATCCAGCTTCGTAGTACAGGCCTCAGGGTGACTATTTGATCTGTGCGTGAAACAGATGGTGTTTCCCTGCAGTGTTTCTCCATCTCTTATCTCTTTATTTGTTGTTCATGCAGGTGGAGGCGGAGCTGATCGATAAACTGGACAGTTTGGTGTCTGAGGGGAAAGGAGACGAGAACTACAGGGAGCTCTTCGGTTTACTGTAAGACACAAACAACAACAAACAACAACAAACAACAAGTCGTCTAACCTTGTTTCTAACTCAGTTTCTAACTCAGTTTCTAACTCTGTTTCTAACCTTGTTTCTAACTCTGCTGCTGTGTGTTTGCTGTGTGTTTGCTTTGTGCTGCGGGATTAGAACGCAGCTGTTTGGGCCGTACCCCAGGTATGACGTTTCATTAACTACTCACATCTGCTCTTATATGCTTTCTAATAATCATACATGTGTTATTGTCAGACAACACAAAGGTAAAACCTGCATGGATCTCTTATAAACAAGTCTTATAGAGCTGGGAAAGGATCTCCTTTTGTGTGTCTTCTTTGACTTCATCTGTTTTTTGTCTGCATGAATGTTAAGAAAAGCATCAATTAGTCCTTCATCAGTGAGCAGTCTGAAACCAAGATGTCATTAAATACACAAATCTGCTCACATAGACCTTTTTTGGAACATAACTAAGTTAACTTACAGGACCCACTTGTACTTTACTTATAATCTGTGTTTCAACAAGATCATTTAGGTTGCAGGGTTATAATATTTTCTCACGCTGTAAATGACCTCTGTTTTCTCATCATAGCGTAAAAGCATATTACAATAAATAATTAGTTTTTTATTTTGTTGCAGCCTGCTGGAGAAGATCGAGCAGGAGACATGGAGAGAGACGGGAATCTCCTTCGTCACCTCTGTCACACGACTGATGGAGAGACTGCTGGACTACAGGTGACACACACACACACACACACACACACACACACACACACACACACACACACACACACACACACACACACACACACACACACACTTCTTATATGACAAAAAGGTAAGTATATCAAGTATTAAGTAGCACACATACAGTATAGAGACGTTCTGAGTGGATACAAGCCGTGACAATACTGTATACATTTATTTTATTTCTTACTAACATCTATTTACTTCACTTTTTTTTACATTGTAATACCTTAAAATAAGTTATTGTTGTCATTTTGTATATCAGAAAGACCACCCAATTGGCCTGGATTTCCATCTAAATCCTCCTTTTTCAGTTTTTGAATAGACATTTTTGAGACACGTCAAAAACAAATGTTATCTGTAACGTCATTTTTATCAGGCTGGCACTTTTCATGTCTCTTTATGCATGGGTTATGATTACATTTGTGTTCACTACATATTTGCTGAGTGTACACACACCGGAATATGAGTTGTAATGCATGCATACATAAGTGCAAACACAACAAAAGTCATGCCTACTGTAGATTCAAATGTCATGAACAGAACTTATGATTTGTTTTACTGTGAAAATCAAAGACTGCATGTATATAAATGGACGTAGTGTCATATTTTTCATTAGATTTGAGTAATATTTGGATGTTATTGTTGACAACTTGTGATTTTTGCAAGATTTTCTTTTTAACTGACATCAATTACATCTCCCATGAGAATCTGACAGTCGCAGTGACTCCTGGGATATGTTGTTCTTAATAAATACTAACAGAACAATCTCACATACAGAGACACTAAAACTATCCTATGAAATACTTCAGTTAGATATCAGTTTAGCTTAAATATGGACAGAAAACCATGCAAATTCCAGTATTTCAGACTATTAAGAAAGCATATTGAGTTACAGAGACTCGTCGCTATTATTTAAACGTTTCTATTTTGTCTTCAGAGACTGCATGAAGGGAGATGAGACGGAAAACAAGAAGATCGGCTGCACTGTAAACCTCCTGGTAAGATTATACATTATAGTTTACTCACAAACCTTCTGAATCTCCCTGTAACCCCTTAAGTGTTTATTAAAAACACCTCTATGCTGGAGATATGGAGATTTAATTCCCAACATTTGATTCAGAGTTTTTTATATTTGCAAAACCCTTCTCTGTCCTGTGCATCTCCGCAGAATTTCTACAAGTCGGACATCAACAAGGAGGAGATGTACATCCGTTACATTCACAAACTGTGTGACATGCATCTGCAGGCAGAGAACTACACCGGTGAGACACACACACACACACACACACACACACACACACACACACACACACACACACACACACACACACACACACACACACACACACACACACACACACCATGTTTACATTACTTCAGGGGACATTACATTGACTTACATACATTTCCTGGAGACTTATCCTAACCTTAACCATAACCAACACATGCCTAACCCTAACCCTAAACAAGTCTTCACCCTAAAATTACCCTCCATTATGTCCCCATAAGGGAAGCCAGTCCCCACACGTGACTGTGTAAACAGATGTAGGTCCCCACAAGGATAGTAATGCAAGGTCACACACACACACACTCACCAGTGACTGGAACACCAGCGGTCCGTATGTGTCCGTGTTGTCGTCCAGGATGGAGAATAAACACACACACACACACACACACACACACACACACACACACACACACACACACACACACACACACACACACGCGTATACCTTAAGTATTACCCTTAGTTACTCATCTAGTTCCCTGAGTCTGCGTCTGGGTCATATTTTACTTGCATTTAACACAAATGAAAACAAATGAAAACAAATTAAATTGAATAGAAATAGCGCAATCAGTCATATACAAGTATTACTTAATTAAATATAACGAAAGACAAACTTTGTCCATGAATCATTTATCAGTTTCTCTGATATGAGTGAAGTATGTCTGTCTCTCCACAGAGGCTGGCTTCACGCTGCTTCTCTACTGGGAGCTGCTCCACTGGGACGAGCGTCCTCTGAAGGACTTCCTGCATTATCCCGCTCAGACGGAGTGGCATCGTAAGGAGGGGCTCTGCAGGAAGGTCGTACACTACTTCAACAAGGGCAAGGTGAGGAGGGGAGGCCGACAAGAACACACACACATTAGAGGTGCATCATGAGTCATTATACACAACAAGTCCTTGAAGATAACTGAGCGTTACTGAATACTGCTTTACAAGTTAATGACAATAGAGTGGTGCAGGGATGTTGTATTTCTGTGGTGAAGTTAGCATCTCCCTGGTTCCCCCCACAAAGCACCAATGGGATTTCTCCATGCACGGTCATGACTTTATGTCACCACCGCTAAGCTAAAGGTGGCTAATATTGGGCTATAAAGGAACTACAGCACGGTCACATGACTTCACTTCACCACCGCTAAGCTAAAGGCGGCTAATGTTGGGCTATAAAGGAACTACAGCACGGTCACATGACTTCACGTCACCACCGCTAAGCTAAAGGCGGCTAATGTTGGGCTATAAAGGAACTACAGCACGGTCACATGACTTCACATCACCACAGCTAAGCTAAAGGCGGCTAATGTTGGGCTATAAAGGAACTACAGCACGGTCACATGACTTCACGTCACCACCGCTAAGCTAAAGGCGGCTAATGTTGGGCTATAAAGGAACTACAGCACGGTCACATGACTTCACATCACCACAGCTAAGCTAAAGGCGGCTAATGTTGGGCTATAAAGGAACTACAGCACGGTCACATGACTTCACCTCACCACCGCTAAGCTAAAGGTGGCTAATGTTGGGCTATAAAGGAACTACAGCACGGTCACATGACTTCACCTCAACACCGCTAAGCTAAAGGTGGCTAATGTTGGACTATAAAGGAACTACAGCAACCTCTATTTTTTAATCCACCAGTGGGGTATTTACTTACGTATTTTATCTGGTAGAACAAAACGTTTACATCTCTTCAGCTTGTGTTAACCACAGACCTTATATCAGGCTAACAACCAAAAACACATTCAGGAAACCATTGACCTCCAGACCAGGGGACAGGAAGTGCTCGAATGCTGAGTCATTAAAGGAGTTTAGGGCTGCAGTCGAATAGTCCATTTAGCTTAGGAACCTTCCTAACCGAGTGAAATGACCCGGAAGTCCCTCAGTGGCAGCCATGATAAGTGCCGTTCGAATTCTCTAGATGAAAGGAAAGGAGGTTTCAAACTTCCTTTATAACCTCCTTTAGCTTAGGAACCACTGGACCTCCCTAACCGAAAGGAGAGGAGAAAATGCTGCCCCACAATGCCTTGCAGCCGCGGCATTTGCCGTCACACAACAGTCGGCCGTTCACGGAAACAACCGATTATGACCGAGAAATGATATCATGAAAGTTACGGTGCTTATTAAGCATTTTAAAACGTATGTGGTAAGTTGCCAAAGTGCTTTGTTTTGAACGTTCATCAGTATTATAATCAAAAAGAGAAATATGAACGTTAGTTTTTACTGAAATGATCAAATAAAGTCAACATTTCACAGTCTTTACTGAGCTGTGTGGGGTTTGTTCAACTTTTAAAAGATGTTTGAATGGTGATATACACAGTGATAGATGTTAAGGACTAACGTTTATAATAAATACATTTGTATTGATTTTAAGATCTTTTCATACAATCATACGTATTGGGATCATTTGTATTAATGTGGACCGGAGGGAGAGGGTGACGAGCATAAGTTTCACTTTCCTTTTTTATTTCAATTCCAACTTTGGTCATGAAGAATATGTTTCTCTGTTGTCCCCGTTCATAAAGCATAACAGCATCAGAGCACGGTGCAGAGTCTCTAGATGAGTTTACAGTAGTCCCTCGTTCTTATTAAACATCCATGTTGTAGTCCGCTGTATAGAAAACTGTAGTTTCCATAGTTTCCCCACAGCAGCAGGCGCACATTTATGACCTCTGCTGGCGCATCATAAACACGTCGGATAGTGAAAGTGCAGTCGGATTCTCTAAAGTACCGCAGTCTCTTCTCCTAAATCCTTTTGAATTCTCCTATCCACTATCCCTTAACCCCATGACGTTCACTCCGAGGTCAAGGAATAGACGATAGGGTTAGAATTTAGGAGCTGATTTTTGGACTATTCGACTGCAGCCCAGGACTCATTCCTGAACCACCCAATGGACGGCCGTAAAGTAGAAAGCAATATATGAAAAGAAAGTGCTCCTCTTTTTGTTCGTACTGTATTCACAATTTGTGTGTGTGTGTGTGTGTGTGTGTGTGTGTGTGTGTGTGTGTGTGTGTGTGTGTGTGTGTGTGTGTGTGTGTGTGTGTGTGTGTGTGTGTGTGTGTGTGTGTGTGTGTGTGTGTGTGTGTGTGTGTGTGTGTGTGTGTGTGTGTGTGTGTGTGTGTGTGTGTGTGTGTGTGTGTGTGTGTGTGTGTGTGCAGTGTTGGGAGTTGGTATCCCTCTGTGCAGGGAGCTGGCCTTCCAATATGAAACTCTGTACGACTACCAGAGTCTCAGCTGGATACGGGTGAGCTTTTATTCTTTTTAATCAGCATCAACACACTCCTCATATATCTGTAAGACATTATTAATATATCTTCTGTTGTGTGTGTGTGTGTGTGTGTGTGTGTGTGTGTGTGTGTGTGTGTGTGTGTGTGTGTGTGTGTGTGTGTGTGTGTGTGTGTGTGTGTGTGTGTGTGTGTGTGTGTGTGTGTGTGTGTGTGTGTGTGTGTGTGTGTGTGTGTGTGTGTGTAGAAAATGGAGGCAGCGTACTATGACAACATTATGGAGCAGCAGCGTCTGGAGCCGGAGTTTTTCCGGGTCGGATTTTACGGCAGGAAGTTTCCCTTCTTCCTCAGAGTGAGTTTGAAAATGCATCTTCTAGTCTCGTCGTAGCTTCTTCTAAATGCTTACCAATGCAAGTTAAAATCTATAAAGGTGTTTGGAGACAAGCCTTAAAAGGATAGCAAGGTTAAGTGCAGATAATGCTATAAATGCAGCGTGTATTTAAACTGATATTGATTTTTCTTAGGTGTCTTCACTATGTCCACAGCAGTGCTTTGCTTAGCTTCCTGCTGGTAATCCTGTCTGTTTCTACAAACTGCATATAATATGGAACATTACCTCATACAAACCTGAAGTATAATCCACACTGTCCCTTTAAAATTGTTTTCTAGCTTGCTGTTTTAACCCACAGAGGCAGAATATAATATCTATGATGTATGGGTAGAGCTGTACTGTTCAAATCCCCATTTATTGTCCTATCTGTTTTCTGACATTGAGCATTTTGATTGCTCCGCACCAGAACAAAGAGTTTGTTTGTCGCGGCCATGACTACGAGAGGCTAGAGGCCTTCCAGCAAAGGATGCTGGGAGAATTCCCACAAGCCATTGCGATGCAGCATCCCAACCAACCGGACGAGGCCATTCTGCAGTGTGACGCCCAGTGTATCCTTCAGTCTGCAGGATCAATGAGTGATTATTGATCTGTCAAATCTCCATACTCTTTACTTACAGTACGTACTTTGCCTGCTCTTACACCTTATTTCACATGACTTCACGTCACCACCGCTAAGCTAAAGGCGGCTAATGTTGGGCTATAAAGGAACTACAGCACGGTCACATGACTTCACGTCACCACCGCTAAGCTAAAGGCGGCTAATGTTGGGCTATAAAGGAACTACAGCACGGTCACATGACTTCACGTCACCACCGCTAAGCTAAAGGCGGCTAATGTTGGGCTATAAAGGAACTACAGCACGGTCACATGACTTCACGTCACCACCGCTAAGCTAAAGGCGGCTAATGTTGGGCTATAAAGGAACTACAGCACGGTCACATGACTTCACGTCACCACCGCTAAGCTAAAGGCGGCTAATGTTGGGCTATAAAGGAACTACAGCACGGTCACATGACTTCACGTCACCACGCTAAGCTAAAGGCGGCTAATGTTGGGCTATAAAGGAACTACAGCACGGTCACATGACTTCACGTACTTGAGTACAAGTAGAAGATCCGTGCAAACACACATAGGCCTACTGTAGAACATGACATTTGTTTGGTGTGAGAAATATCCATTTAAAACTAGACCTGTCAGACCCTGTTTTTCTTCCACAGTGCCTCCCTTCCTTTAGTTATCCCTTGACTCTGACCTCAGACCTGCAGATCTACGCTGTGTCTGCGGTGCCGGACAACCTGGGCGTGCTGCAGATGGACCGCGTCCCAGACCGCATCAAGAGCTTCTACCGGGTCAACAACGTGCTGCGCTTCAGATACGATCGGCCCTTCCATAAAGGCTCCAAGGACAGAGACAACGAGTTCAAGGTGAGCGGGCAAAAACACTTATGGATAGAAAACACAGATTTCAGCCTTTGCAGACCATTTACATGCACTAAAACCTATAGGACACACTCCAGGGGAGGGAAACCCCCAAAAAGCAGAATAGGGCCTCTTTAAAATGCTTTAATATGAACCCAATAAGTGTGCAAGAATGCAAGAACGTTAACTTTTAATTAGACAAACCTTTTTAAATCATTGCGAATGTATTTTATTGGCCGAGGTGCAGCTCGTTCCACCTTTAGGAGACATTTCTTGTATAAAACACTGGATTAATCTCCTGATTGTGTGGATTTAGGACTTCCTGTCTGACAGCTCGTTGTGTTTCAGAGTCTCTGGATCGAGAGGACGACTCTGATCCTGACTCACCCTCTGCCCGGGATCTCACGCTGGTTCGAGGTGGAGAAGAGGGAGCTGGTGAGTAAAAACATCTTCACACCCAACGGTAGAAACTTTTCCCCTGTGCTCAGGAAATGAAAGGAATAAAATAAGGTTAGAAAAGTGTCAAAATAGATTGATTTCACGGGAAGACTAGGGGTAGAGGAATGTGAGAATTTGGTTAGAGATATTTTCCAAATATCTGGAACAAACTCCCAGAAACCTGCAGGTCCGCTGACATCTGACTGCTTTTAAATCCAGGCTGAAGACTTTTCTTTTTGTCGCTGCTTTTAATTGAACTATTCACATCTCACACTGCACTGTAACTGTTATTCATGTACCTGTGTTATTCATGTTTTATTATCTTTGCTTTTTAATGTTTCTAATGTGTTTTATGCTTTTAGTGTCTTTCATTTTTGTAAAGCACTTTGAATTGCCTTGTGTTGAAAGGTGCTGTATAAATAAACCTGCCTTGCCTTGCTCTCGGTGTGTGTTGATGGTCTCTCCTGTGGTTCTGCCTCTCAGGTGGAGGTGAGTCCGCTGGAGAACGCCCTCTCTGTGGTGGAGAATAAGAACCAGGAGCTGCGGACTCTGATCAGTCAGTACCAACACAAGCAGCTCCACGGGAACATCAACCTGCTCAGCATGACTCTGAACGGGGTGATCGACGCCGCCGTCAACGGAGGCATCGCCCGCTACCAAGAGGTCAGATAACAACGTATTGTTTCTTTAAACAGGAGGAGAAATAGGTTTACTGGGAATTTTTTGAAATGTTTTTTATCCTTTGAAAACTGGTCAGAAAAAACAGGTAGTTATGTTGTATTGAGGATCAATGTTCTTATAGTTTATTGTTGTAATACAGATGTCATGGTATTTAACTTGTATTGTACTTGCAGGTCTCCCTTGAAAAAGAGATCTATGATCTCAATGAGATCAATCTGGTTAAATAAAGGTTTGAAATGAAATGAAATGAATTAGAAAGTAAGAAGTTAAGAAAGTGTGTTAGGAAAAATAAAGATTATCCTGACATTTTCACCAGTTTTTTTTATATTACTGCTTTTCCAAATAGCAAAATCTTTTTTGACCAAATTTGACTCCTGGTAAAAATATGTTTTACTGAGTCTTTTTTTATTTGATATAGGTTATTAAACAAAACAACAAAAGTGAAATGTGTTCTTGGGATTTATGATGGTTATATCTAAGATTATTTTGGGTATTTAATCGATTATTGCGAAAGAGAATATCTGTTAGAAAAACAGCCCGTCAAAGGTTATAATAATTACATTTGTTTGTGACAATAGCGGTATTACCAAAATATTAAAGATGCACTCATCTTTTTCAACACAATTATAATTATAATTTTTTTAGATCTGACCAAAGGTGCATTTTTTTCAATACATTTCTGGGATTTTCAGGTGAAAAGAAAATCGGAAAAATAAAAAATATTTCAGTTTTTTTCCGGAAAGATAATTCTGAAAAATACATAATTCCCTTTTGTTCAGATCTCAATTTGTGTTTCACATCTAATCCTCTTCCGTATTTGATAATGTTTTAAAGCTGCATGTTCTTTCCTTTATCCCCAGGCTTTCTTTGATAAGGAGTACATCACCAGCCATCCTGAAGACACCGAGAAGATCACACAACTCAAAGACCTGATGCAGGAGCAGGTGAACGTTTAACGCAACACGATGAACTGTACTTACTGTACTTTGGATAGATCGTGAAGTCAGGGAAATGTAGAATTCATGCTGTGAGGAATAAAGAAAATACAATGCATATAAAGTAAGGCTTTGGACACTGAAAGGAAGTAAATATACGTACAGGAGAGTTTTTTAGAAGAGTTCAGTGAGTGTTAAATGATTAAAAATCCTCTCTCAGAATCAGAATCAGGTTTATCACCAGGTAGGTTCACACGTGCGAGGAATTTGACTTGGTGTCGTGGAGCATACATAAAGATAAACACACAGATAGAGAACTATTTTAAGAAAACTATAATAACATAAAAAAATATTACAAATAATAAAAAAAGATGGAATAAAATTGAATAAAATATGGAATAAAATGCATTAATGTAATGCTCTCTGCAGAATTAAAGTATTTCCCACTGATATTTTATTTATAACCCCTCAGGTTCACATCCTGGGAGTCGGCCTGGCGGTGCACGAGAAGCTGGTGCACCCAGAAATGCGTCCCCTGCACAAAAAGCTGATAGATCAGTTCCAGATGATGAGAAGCAGCCTCTGCCAAGTGAGTTAGAACATAAAGCATTTAATATAATAATTATATATCATATAATCCTCAGATCTTGAGTAAAAGTAGAAGTACTCAGATCTTGAGTAAAAGTAGAAGTACTCAGATCTTGAGTAAAAGTAGAAGTACTCAGATCTTGAGTAAAAGTAGAAGTACTCAGATCTTGAGTAAAAGTAGAAGTACTCAGATCTTGAGTAAAAGTAGAAGTACTCAGATCTTGTACTTGAGTAAAAGTAGAAGTACTCAGATATTGTACTTGAGTAAAAGTAGAAGTACTCAGATATTGTACTTGAGTAAAAGTAGAAGTACCTAAGAATTGTACTTGAGTAAAAGTAGAAGTACTCAGATATTGTACTTGAGTAAAAGTAGAAGTACTCAGATATTGTACTTGAGTAAAAGTAGAAGTACTCAGGTCTTGAGTAAAAGTAGAAGTACTCAGATATTGTACTTGAGTAAAAATAGAAGTACTCAGATCTTGTACTTGAGTAAAAGTAGAAGTACTCAGATCTTGTACTTGAGTAAAAGTAGAAGTACTCAGATATTGTACTTGAGTAAAAGTAGAAGTACTCAGATATTGTACTTGAGTAAAAGTAGAAGTACTCAGATATTGTACTTGAGTAAAAGTAGAAGTACTCAGGTCTTGAGTAAAAGTAGAAGTACTCAGATATTGTACTTGAGTAAAAATAGAAGTACTCAGATCTTGTACTTGAGTAAAAGTAGAAGTACTCAGATCTTGTACTTGAGTAAAAGTAGAAGTACTCAGATATTGTACTTGAGTAAAAGTAGAAGTACTCAGGTCTTGAGTAAAAGTAGAAGTACTCAGATATTGTACTTGAGTAAAAGTAGAAGTACTCAGATCTTGTACTTGAGTAAAAGTAGAAGTACTCAGATCTTGAGTAAAAGTAGAAGTACTCAGATATTGTACTTGAGTAAAAGTAGAAGTACTCCAGGTCTTGAGTAAAGAGTAGAAGTACTCGATCTTATACTGAGTAAAAGTAGAAGTACTCATATCTTGTACTTGAGTAAAAGTAGAAGTACTCAGATCTTGTACTTGAGTAAAGTAGAAGTACTCAGATCTTGTACTTGAGTAAAAGTAGAAGTACCAGAGTGTAGGAATACTCTGTTACAAGTTAAAGTCCTGCATTCAAAATATTACTCAAGTACAAAAGTGTTAGCATCAAAATATATTTAAAGTTATGCGTACTTGTATTTGGGTGATGTGTGAATACTCAGTGTTTTTACGTGATGTTTCAGGGTCTTCCTGGTTTAGAGAAATCTGGATCCGGAGCAAACACCCCCCGAGGGATTATGAGCCCCGAGAGCTTCAAACTGATGCACCGACACAGGTCAGACACACACACACACACACACACACACACACACACACACACACACACACACACACACACACACACACACACACACACACACACACACACACACACACACACACACACACACACACACACACACACACACACACATACACATACACATACACACACACACACAGACAGTCAGAATACACATATAGTTTAAAAAGTACACCCACAAATAACCAAGTTCTTTAGTGAAGAAGAGTTTTATATGTGCAGCGTAGAGAAGACTAAACTCATGACTCGAAATAAAACACACACACACACACACACACACACACACACACACACACACACACATTTATCTTCATCCTCCAGTGAGACTTCATCATCACACTTCAGAAGTCATACACACATCGTCCTCCATGTTCTCCATGTTTCTCTACAATCACTGATTTCATCCGTCTTTCCACCAGAGTGATGCAGGGATGACGTAGTTTTGTATTACGACTTTTAAGGCAGCATCTCTATCTGTGATTCGGGATTATTGCAGAAAATAATCTGTTTTTTTTGTCAAACAAACATTTATGATATTTACACGTTTAGTTCAGCAGGATAATCTCCACATATTAACACCACTTTATGATTTCTGAAGTAAAAAGCTAACGTTGGGCTATAAAGGAACTACAGCACGGTCACATGACTTCACGTCACCACCGCTAAGCTAAATGTGGCTAATGTTGGGCTATAAAGGAACTACAGCACGGTCACATGACTTCACGTCACCACCGCTAAGCTAAATGCGGCTAATGTTGGGCTATAAAGGAACTACAGCACGGTCACATGACTTCACGTCACCACCGCTAAGCTAAAGGCGGCTAATGTTGGGCTATAAAGGAACTACAGCACGGTCACATGACTTCACGTCACCACCGCTAAGCTAAAGGAGGCTAATGTTGGGCTATAAAGGAACTACAGCACGGTCACATGACTTCACGTCACCACCGCTAAGCTAAAGGTGGCTAATGTTGGGCTATAAAGGAACTACAGCACGGTCACATGACTTCACGTCACCACCGCTAAGCTAAAGGTGGCTAATGTTGGGCTATAAAGGAACTACAGCACGGTCACATGACTTCACGTCACCACCGCTAAGCTAAAGGTGGCTAATGTTGGGCTATAAAGGAACTACAGCACGGTCACATGACTTCACGTCACCACCGCTAAGCTAAAGGAGGCTAATGTTGGGCTACAAAGGAACTACAGCACGGTCACATGACTTCACCTCACCACCTCTAAGCTAAAGGTGGCTAATGTTGGGCTATAAAGGAACTACAGCACGGTCACATGACTTCACCTCACCACCTCTAAGCTAAAGGAGGCTAATGTTGGGCTATAAAGGAACTACAGCACGGTCACATGACTTCACGTTTCGTTCAAAGCTCTCCACAGACCTCATTTCAGGATAACAACCAAAAACACTTTCAGATAAATAGACCAGGGGACAGGTCTGAGTTTTAGGACTCATTCCTGCACCACTCTCTTTCCTCACTGTGTGTTTTCTACCATCTGCTGCACACGTCACACTTTCTGATATTCTACCATCTTCTTGTCTCTCTCTCTTTCTGTCTCTTCTCCCATCCTCCCACATCACGCATGGCTGAATCTCCTCGTCTCTCTGCATGTTTTCGTTGTTTTTTGGCTTTTTTGTTGGCGATTTTCCTCTGCATGGATTCTTGCTCTTCCTTTTTCTTCCCCCCCCCTGCAGTCCCATAGCTGTTCTGACAGCTGTGCGCCCCCCCTCCTCTCTCTCCTCCCCCTCCTCCAGTGAGACGGTGGGCAGCCTTTTGATCCTGGAGCATCCTGAGGACTTCTACCGCATGCAGGTGAGAGCAAGTAGATTTACTCAAGTACTTAAGGTACTTGTACTCAGTGGCGTTTTTATATGTACAAAAGTGGTGGGGCACAAAAAACGTAGATGTCTATATATAAGCTTCTGCAGTGTCGTGCAGTGAGGTTCATGGCTGGTGAGGCACTGGCACCGACTCTTCAGGTTTACAAATATTATATTTTGACCTAAATCAAAATATAATATTATTTTCAAAAGCTTTTTTTGTCTGATGCTTCGATTAATTTTAAACAGACAGTTCAACAAAAGGATACCCAACAAATGTAATTTTATCATTTAAATATTGAATTGTTCTCTCTTAGTAAGATCCCATTTTCAATAAAATGGTGGTCTTACCTTGACTTGAAGATGAAGTCCATTTGTCTATCCTTCTGGACAAAAATCTCTATTAGCCTACTTTTTTGTAAAAGTCCTCCTTATCTTCTCGTAGTTTCAAAAGTCTATCATAAATGTAATCGATAGATTTATGATTAGAAAATTATAAAAGTAGGGTAGACATGTGGATGTTATCCGGCTGATCAAAACGTGCATTTATCTAACAGGTACGTTTCCCACAGATCTTATTTCCAGCTATTTTCTAAAATCCTATGGAGAAATCTCATTGCTTTTTTGTCGAGGGAAGCCAAGCGCAGCTTACTTCCTGGTTTTAGGACGCGTCACTGCAGCTCTCTCGTCTCCTCTTCACACACTTTTCGCGGCACACGTACTTACAGCCAATCAGCTCTGAATTATGTGAGATGACGTATGGTGGGGATGGCAGCTCAGTGCCCCTATGGTCATTATTTTTTTGCCACACACATTAAAATGAAAAATACTCTGAGCATGCGCAGTGTAGTTTTTACAGTCACCGTTCACTTAGACAGTGAGAGGGAGGGGCATGATCGGGTTTTGTCCCACATGGCTCAAAACGACTCAATAGGCACCCACTGTAGACACTAATTAGAAGAACACAGACTAAAACAGCAATGTACAGACGAATCAGATGATTACACATGATCTTAAAATATATTTTATATATATTTTTTTTTTTGCATTTTTTTGTAATCATTATTTTTAATACTTTCTGCTGACACTAGGTGGGGCTGTGCCACTGCTTGTACTTTACTTGAGCAGCACCTGAGTGGCTCACCATCTTTAAGAATTAAGTAAAGACAATGGAGGTATCATTACTGCATCAATGCATTGGAAGTCTAAGAGAACACAGTTAACAAATGCGTTACATGAAATACAAATAAAAAAGTAGTTTGTAGATTAAAACATCTCTTAGTGCCTGGATTCAAATACAAAACAGGCAAAATAACTTCTAATATTGACTTAAAAAATTATATATATGTATCGTTTGAAGTAACTAAGTAGATTTTACTCAGGTACTGTACTTAAGTACAATTTTGAGGTACTTGTACTTTACTCGAGTATTTCCAGTTTATGCTACTGTGTACTTCTTCTCCACTACAGTTCAGAGGTAAATGGTGTACTTTTCCTCCACTACATGTATTTAAAACCTTTAGTTACTTTACAGATGTGGATGAATGATGTGAAATATAATCAAGTGTTAAATCAGACTTTAGTTCCACCTGGAGTAAATCCACAAGCTACCCTGCAGTATACAAAGTCATTCAAACTAGCTGCACCTTTACCAGCTTTGAGAACACTTTCATGATCAATCATTATAAAACATATCATATATATTATTCTGAAATGGACCAATCTGCACAATGACTACTTTTACTGTCGCTACTTTCACTATATTTTGATGAGAATACTTTTCTACTTTTACTTGAGGAACATTTTGAATGCAGGACTTTTACTGTAACAGAGTATTCCTACACTCTGGTACTTCTACTTTTACTCAAGTACAAGATCTGAGTACTTCTACTTTTACTCAAGTACAAGACCTGAGTACTACCACTTCTGGTTTTAGGACTCATTTCTGCAGATATTTATAGTTTGTATTTACTAACCATCACAACTTCCTCGTTCCAGGCAAGCCCCTCCTCCTCCAGCCTAAGCTCCACCCACTCTGCTCCCTCTCAGATGATAAACTCCGCCCCCTCCACCATCAGAGGTAATCAATACATCTAAAATCTGTTTTAGACCCATGTATTTCTTAATTTTTTACTTTAAATTGAATTATTTATTTATTTGGTTTGTTATTTTATCTTTTCTTGATTACCCTTTAACTCTTTTATGTATTTGTTTATTTATTTGTTGTTTTCATGTTTGTTTATTTTTCAATAACAAATGTCTTTTCTTAAGAAAAAGAAAATATATATAATAATAATTGAGTTTTTGGGAGAAGGGGTGGGATTAAATAAGTGTAAACTTCTTCCCACCACTTTTCAGATGTGTAATTAGGTAGATCATTTGTTTATATATAATTTGTAAGTCAGTCATATTTTTGTTTATCAATTTGACACTACTTAAGTTTGTACAGCATAATAATTCTCATGTTTGATTTCATTATTATTATAAAAAGAACGATAACAGATATCTGTGAAATTTCAAAATGTGAAGCATGTCAAGGAAGTTGAGTATCTGAAGTGTAATTTTTGTGTACTTTCGGGTTAATAATGTGGCCTTTTTAGCAGTTTAAGAAAGGTGTGCGGCTGCTGCTGTGAGGAAATATCAGCCTGAAATTACAATGGGCGTTAATGGAGACATGTTGAACGTTTTTGTCACTTCATGCCCTCAAGAGGCATTTTGTTTAATTATTTTGCTTAATTATTTGTCATTGTTCAAGCTACGAGATGTTTTCCTACGTTTGTCATGAAAGATTATGTCTCAAGAATGTAGGGTTTGGGAATTATGGCAGTTTTAAAAAAATATATGAAGGCAAATTTCAAGATTTGCTCCACTCTGTGACATCACGCACTGTAGTTAATGTTAAAATCTGAAGAAAACCTCTTTAACAAGGTCTGAACAATGTTTAATATCTCTAAAAGTAAGAATCAGATTTAAAGGTTGTGTTACACGAATAATGTCAGAAAGATGTGTGACATTTGAAAGTTGGAATGAGGTTTCTGAGTGAAAGTATGAATGAACAGTTAGCAGTTGAAGTCGCATGAAGATTTGTTGAAGTCTGAAGAATATCTCCATTGACTTCAATGGTTAAAAATGTGATGTATTATGGGATGTATCTCTGGAATTATGAAAGTTATGAATGATAAAAGTAATAGCCTGTGATTCCCGACCGAGCTGAACGTTTTGATGTTTGAACAGAGTTTCTGCGATGTTGAATGTGGGAGGAGAAGAGGGCCAAAATAAGTCGGCAGAATAATAATAATAAACTTTTTGTCCGTAGCATAACATATAGTGGCTGTATCAGCATTCCCACTAAACTAGTTGATGCTCTGTATGTGATGACTACTTCCATTCTTGAGAGGATCATAAATACATGGATCCTGAGATTGAAGCTCAAGACGGTGACCAGTGAGATTTGTCTAACAATTATTGTTTTACACATTCGAAATAAATCAAATCTCTTGTGTCTGCAGTGGGCTCTCCTTCTCTTCCGGACAAATATCGACACAACCGAGAGATGTTGATGCTGCTGCCGCCTCACAGAGACCGGCCGAGCAGCGCCATGTACTCAAACATCGAGAACGGACAGGTAGGAGGCCAGGGAGGTTTTTAAGTTTTAAGTCATTATCTGAATCAGAATCATACTCAACTCCTTTTTATGTCTGCTACTTGGAATACCTTAAATTACAATATTTTATTTAAATATGTACGGTGTGTTTCAAGGACATTTAAAAAACCTTAAATCTTAACATGATTTATGTCTCTCTTCAGCCAACGAACCTCCAGAGGGCTTTGTTCCACCAGGTGATGATCGGACCATGCAAACCCTGCAGCGACCCAAACCTCTCTGTGGCCGAGAAAGGTGAGAGGACCGTCAGAAAAACAGGAGGAGAAAGATATACAATTGGCATAAGTTGCATGAATTAGCACTAGTTAGCATATGCAGAGAATAGCTAAATAATGGCTTGGCCGATTTGTAACATTTTGGTGCTTTTTTAAAAAAGTATATTGAGGATGTTGAATCAATTTCATCTTTGAATCTCAGTTTTGAATCTTCTAAGACTTTCAAATCGACACAAAATTCAGCATAATCATCCCACCAGTGTATAAATACAACCACTTTCTGGTTAAAACATTTCATTTTGTGTGAGAGCGCCGACAGAAAAACAAGAAAAATATATACAATTGGGATCAGAAGGTTGTGAGTTCAAATCCCACCTGGAACACCACCACTAGTGTGCCCTTGAGTAAGGCACTTAGCCCTTACCCCTAGATTCCACCGGGTCCGTCTGTGGCGCGTTACAGCCGTGTTACGGCTGCGCCGCGGCGCTCAAGGCGATCGGGGCCTCTCTAGTCAATGGGTGCTATTCCACCACACCCGACGCGTTACGGCTCAGAAGCGTCCCAGAAGCGTCTCGGTGCAGGGCTCCTCTAAAATTAGGATAAATCCTATTTCTGACGCGACGCAGCCGTAACGTAAGGTCGGGCAGGCAGGAAGTGGAACGTTCAGAGCATATATAGCATATATATATATATATATACACACACACACACAAACTAATTTTGCAGACCCTATCCCTCCGTAGTCTTTCAAGTAAGAGGAGAAATGCCAGCGTTCTCCTCCGGTTTGCAGGCACTGTGTAAATTATATATATAGAATAATTATGATGATGAATGCATTTTTTTACTACTAAAATACAGCAACACATCTTTGATACAGTTATTATTAACTTTGTCTGTACAAAGTAGCCTGTCCAGGAAATATGCCCAAATCAACAAAAACTGCGAGCCGGCAGGCAAGACGCTCCGCTTCTGAAATGCTTCTGAAACGCGCCTGGTAGGGTATGATGCCGGAGGAGGCCGGACCAAAACCGCGGCGCAGCCGTAACGCGGCGCAGACGGACCCGGTGGAATCTAGGGGTTAGTTACTCCAGGGAGAATGTCCCTGTAATTGGTAATTGTTAGTCGCTTTGGATAAAAGCGTCAGCTAAATGAAATGTAAAAAAATGAAATGTAATGTTGAATCAATTCAATCTATGAACGAGAGTTTTGAGTCTTCTAAGACTTTCAAATCGACACAAAATTCAGCATAATTAGCCCACCAGGGGCACAAATATCAGAATCAGATTTAGAAACAGGTTTATTACCAGGTAGGTTGACCAGGTAGGTTGACACCAGTGGTCGCGTTAACCGAATATTTTCCGTCTATCACAGTCTGTCATTTTGACGGATTAGAACAAACTCTGAACAGCGCCAAAGCTTCCCCGCAGCGAGGCTCTGGTGTTATGCCGTGTTATGCATGCCCGCCAAAAAGGAAATGATATAGTTTCTAAACCTAACTTTGCAGAACAAATCATTGAAATGTCTGGGATTTTTTGCTTTACGCTGCGCGCGCTCCCGCGAGGTGCAGTGGGCATGGGTAACACCGGTGCTAACAGTTCATGAGCGTGCGCCCCTCGTCAGAGTTCTGTACAGACCGACGGGTAGTAATGGATTTTGGCGGAAATGTCGATCGATCCTGTCCGTCAAAATGACGGGCAGAGAAAAGGTCTAGCGCCACCTCTGGTTGACACGTGCGAGGAATTTAGGAGGCGTGTGGCGTGTGGCGCAGTGGATAGAGCCTTGGTATGTGGATAGAGCCTTGGTTTGGGGATCAGATGGTCACAGGTTCAAACCCCACTGCAGTCAGCATGTCGTTGTGTCCCTGAGACACTTCACCCCAAATTGCTCCTGTGGGGATTGTCCACTGTATTGAGTATGTAAGTCGCTTTGGATAAAAGCGTCTAACAAGTGACATGACATGTAATGTAATGTAATGCAATTTGACTTGGTGTCATGGTGCATACAGTACATAAAAGTAAAAACACAGATAGAGAACTATTTTAAGAAAACTATAATAACATTAAAAAATATTATAAATAATAAAAAATATTGTAAAATATAGCAGTTTTTACATAGAAATAGACTGGAGTTAAATGGAATAAAATGTGGCAGTAATAAAAAAAGGAAACAAATATGGCGACTTTCTGGTTACAACTAACATTTCGTTTTACCAAAGTTTGATGAAATAAATAATAATAATACATTTCATTTATATAGCACACTTTAAAACAACGTCATCTCAAGGTGCTTCACAATGCTATGAGGAGAAAATAATAAAACAAATAAAATAAAAAGATATCTAAGAAGCATATTGAATAAAATATGAAATAAATAAATAGATGTTGATTCTCCTCCAGTCCTCACCACCCCCAGTAGCTGGAGTTTGGACAGCGGCACGAGAGACGTCCTCCCTTTCCTCTCGGCTCACGTTGGCGTCCTGGCGCCTCCCGTTCCCCCCCGCAACCTGCCACATGGTACGACCCTCTCACTGTGTGTGTGTGTGTGTGTGTGTGTGTGTGTGTGTGTGTGTGTGTGTGTGTGTGTGTGTGTGTGTGTGTGTGTGTGTGTGTGTGTGTGTGTGTGTGTGTGTGTGTGTGTGTGTGTGTGTGTGTGTGTGTGTGTGTGTGCACGTGCCTGTGTGTGTGTGCGTGCGCACGTGCCTGTGTGTGTGTGTGCGCCACCTGTATGTTGTCTTGTTTGTGTGTAGAACATGTGTAGAAAAAAATACTGACATATTCCTGTAAATGCCTTAGTTTGTATGAACTTGGTTGACATAATTGTACAACTTTACAGAAGCGCTCCCACACATTGTATGTGACCAATCACAACAGAGCCGGCCAGCTAACCAATCAGAGCAGACTGGGCTCTTGTTTCAGACAGAGGGTGAAAAGAGGTGCTGCAGCACAGGCAGTATGAGAAAAATAAAGAGCTTTTTGAACATTAAAGCATGGAGACATGTAGAGACACTACATACTGATATACACCTGAACATCAGCAGGAGAGGACTCTTTAAAGTAGAGACACTACATACTGATATACACCTGAACATCAGCAGGAGAGGACTCTTTAAAGTAGAGACACTACATACTGATATACACCTGAACATCATCAGGAGAGGACTCTTTAAAGTAGAGACACTACATACTGATATACACCTGAACATCAGCAGGAGAGGACTCTTTAAAGTAGAGACACTACATACTGATATACACCTGAACACCAGCAGGAGAGGACTCTTTAAAGTAGAGACACTACATACTGATATACACCTGAACATCAGCAGGAGAGGACTCTTTAAAGTAGAGACACTACATACTGATATACACCTGAACATCAGCAGGAGAGGACTCTTTAAAGTAGAGACACTACATACTGATATACACCTGAACATCAGCAGGAGAGGACTCTTTAAAGTAGAGACACTACATACTGATATACACCTGAACATCAGCAGGAGAGGACTCTTTAAAGTAGAGACACTACATACTGATATACACCTGAACATCAGCAGGAGAGGACTCTTTAAAGTAGAGACACTACATACTGATATACACCTGAACACCAGCAGGAGAGGACTCTTTAAAGTAGAGACACTACATACTGATATACACCTGAACATCAGCAGGAGAGGACTCTTTAAAGTAGAGACACTACATACTGATATACACCTGAACACCAGCAGGAGAGGACTCTTTAAAGTAGAGACACTACATACTGATATACACCTGAACATCAGCAGGAGAGGACTCTTTAAAGTAGAGACACTACATACTGATATACACCTGAACATCAGCAGGAGAGGACTCTTTAAAGTAGAGACACTACATACTGATATACACCTGAACATCAGCAGGAGAGGACTCTTTAAAGTAGAGACACTACATACTGATATACACCTGAACATCAGCAGGAGAGGACTCTTTAAAGTAGAGACACTACATACTGATATACACCTGAACATCAGCAGGAGAGGACTCTTTAAAGTAGAGACACTACATACTGATATACACCTGAACATCAGCAGGAGAGGACTCTTTAAAGTAGAGACACTACATACTGATATACACCTGAACATCAGCAGGAGAGGACTCTTTAAAGTAGAGACACTACATACTGATATACACCTGAACATCAGCAGGAGAGGACTCTTTAAAGTAGAGACACTACATACTGATATACACCTGAACATCAGCAGGAGAGGACTCTTTAAAGTAGAGACACTACATACTGATATACACCTGAACATCAGCAGGAGAGGACTCTTTAAAGTAGAGACACTACATACTGATATACACCTGAACATCAGCAGAATAGGGCCCCTTTAATATTGTATTTGTAAGATCAGAGTTATTTACAGTTTCTTAGCTCATTCTAAACCTTTAAACAAAATGTAAAAACATATGAGTGTTTTGTTAGCCGTGGACAGTAAAATGTATGTTTCCCTTCCAGCACAATATAAATGTATTGTTGAGAGCTTGGAAAAGGATGAAAAAAGTTCCCCTTCACACACACCCTCCTTCACACACACTTTTCCTGCTGACTCTCTCTTCCCTTCCTCTCCGTCCTCTCGGTCTCTATTTCGGTCCACCCTCGAGTGAATGAGACGTCCTATTTAAGTCGCAGGATGTAAATAAAGCTGCAAGATTCTTGACAGACTTCCCCTTTTCTCCGTCAGAAACAGGAAGTGTCGCAACTCTTGGAGGAAACATTTTTCACTCTAATGTTTATGAGCTGCTTGGATTTAGCTGCAGTTCATTGTTTGATCAAATCTACGGTGGCCGACGCGTAATGAAACCAAAAATGATTATATAACGACTGCTTTTACTGCTCATTTTAACTCATTTTCAGAGACACTTTAATGATAGTAGGGAGAATTCAAACAGCTCTCATCATGAGGTACTTCAGAATAATTTCACTCCGTTAGAAACCTAGCCAAACTCACAATTCCAACGCAACCCATTACTCTTCCTCCTCCTCTTCCCCCTCCTCCTCCTCTTCTTCTTCTCTGGTTTGAGGTTGTCTCTCAGTCAGTCCTGCTGTGTCTCCCCCTGTAGGGCAACACCTGTCGATGCACTTTGACGCTTTCCACCACCAGGTCAGCGACCTTCCTCCAGCTCTCCCTGCGCGATCCTTAAGAAAGGTACCCTCCTCTTCCTCCTCTCCCTCCTCTTCCTCTTCCTCCTCCTCCTCCTCTTCACTCCTGCTGTTGGTCTGGATGAATGTCTGTCTGTTAGTCTGCAGCCCCCAAAGAAACGTTACTATTTGAGTGCATTTCTTTGTTTCCATTTCAGGTTGCAAGAAATGGGCTTTTTTTCTTTTGGTCAGATTTTGGATAAAAATGCTGATACACTGATCAGCCATCAGCCGTGTGCTGTTTCAAGTCCAGCATGTCCCTCTGAGTTTCTGTTTAATGCTCACTGCAGCTCACAGTTCAATATATCAACGTTGACTTTAAAATAATCTGAGAGCTTTCAGATTGCAGTTTCTGAAACAAAGAAATCTGATATTCTTCTCCTTTATTTTACCGTCTGGTTTCCTGTCTGTGTTTTCTGGTTTTCCTCCTATTTTCTGATGTTTTTCTGTCCAGTTTTTTGTGCTTCTTTTCTATCCTCCCTATGGATATGAATATGATCATTAATTCCTATCACGCAGAAACATATACTAGCAACTGCAAAATCTGTTTTGATAACGTATACATTTACCACTTTATATCACTACTGTTTATTCTAAGCAACAGTTTGCACATTTATTTTCATTTTCAGAGACACTTTAATGATAGTAGGGTGTCAGTATTAAGGTCAAACTTAAGGAGAAACGCACTGCAGTTTCAAAAAACATGCAAATGAAAACACACGTGCCATGTTTTGTGTTTTATAACTTATTAATTATCCCATCTTTCATCGAAGATATGAACTGGATTCTGATTCTCACGTTCATTTTCTCCATTTTACACATTTAATCTACTAAATCCTGCCATTGTGCTTGAATTAAGTGATCCTCCTAATAACAATAACAACAATAATAAAGTATTTGTGCTGTTCTCTCTCTCTCCAGTCTCCCCTTCACCCTATACCTGCCTCGCCCACCAGTCCTCAGTCCGTCCTGGATGGCAGTAGCTCCACTCTGTCGGGCAGCGCCAGCTCAGGGGTCTCCTCCCTCAGCGAGAGTAACTTCGGCCCCCCGTCCTCCTCCTCCTGTGACCCCCCTATCGGCCCCCTGGATTCAGCCCCCATTAGCGCCGTGGACCCCGAGGACCTGGACTACCAACCCATCCGATTCAGTGGCTCAGAATCCGAAGTTGTGGGAGGAAACATCCAACAAGACCTCCAGAATATTCACTATTATCATCACTACATCCCCCATCTTCCGCCGCTTTACCACCTCCATCACGAGCCCCCCGCCCTGCCCCCTAAACCCTACCTCAGAGAGGGGTGCATCCCTGAAGAAGACACCCAAACACCGATGCCTCGCCCCATGCCGAGAAAAATCTCCCAGCCGATCATCGCTGCGACGAAAGAGGAGCAGGCGAAGGTGGCGTGGGAAACTGGGGTCAGCGAGGAGTAACGGGTGGGATCTAAATGTATAAACTTTTAATTCCAGAAGAACGAATAAACTCAGAGTCGCTCTGATAACCAAACTAATGGAACATTTATATACTCGACTTTATCAGCTGAATCACTTTCACCAGACCCTCATGTTTCTTCCTGTCTGAGCACAATCAATGTATTCATCATCATAATGTCGCACCTGCACTGAAAAGACCACCATCGATGGTTTGGAAATACCTTTTTTCGCCATAAAATCCCCCCTTGATGAATGATTTTGGTGTCAAATCATACATTTCTGATCACGTAGAAACCAAATTCAGACGTGAGGAATAAATCAGAAGCTTCTTCATACGACCTCTGAGACCATACCATCGAAACCATCTGCCAATGGAAAACTGGGCAGTTCATTATGTTGCATCCTTAGTGAAATTACACAGACTCATGGGATTTCAGTTTGAATCATAACATCAGACTCATGGGATTTAAATGTACAAACTTTTTCCAGAAGCGGGAATAAACCCAGACTAACTCTCCGATCCGAAAACCAAACGAATGGAGCATTTGAATACTCAACGTTATCAGCAGAAACACCGTTTACCAAATCCTCATTAACGTTAGCATCACCATTTATTAATCCCTGAGGGGAAATTAAATGTTTTTACATGTTGCATCCTGTTAGCACAGTTAGCTTGATTTATTTTTTACTATTTAATCACTAAATCCATCGTAATAACGTTACACCTGTACTGTAATTGCACAGACTCATGAGATTTCATTTTGATCATAACATTATCACGGGGGATTTAAATGTACAAACCTTTTCCAGAAGACAGAATACGATTCGATACAATATGTTACTATTCGATAAGTTACGATACAATACGTTACTATTCAATAGGTTACGATTCAATACAATACGATTCAATACAATACGATACGTTACTATTCGATATTTAACTATTCGATATTTAACTATTCGATAAGCTACAATTCGATACTTTACGATTCCATAAGTTACTATCAGATTCGATACGTTACTATTCGATACGTTACTCTTCGATACGTTACTCTTCGATACGTTACTCTTCGATACGTTACTATTCGATACGTTACTCTTCGATACGTTACTATTCGATACGTTACTCTTCGCGTTACTCTTCGATACGTTACTCTTCGATACGTTACTATTCGATACGTTACTCTTCGATACGTTACTCTTCGATACGTTACTATTCGATACATTACTATTCGATACGTTACTCTTCGCGTTACTCTTCGATACGTTACTCTTCGCGTTACTCTTCGATACGTTACTCTTCGATACGTTACTATTCGATACGTTACTCTTCGATACGTTACTATTCGATACGTTACTCTTCGCGTTACTATTCGATACGTTACTCTTCGCGTTACTCTTCGATACGTTACTCTTCGATACGTTACTATTCGATACGTTACTCTTCGATACGTTACTATTCGATACGTTACTCTTCGATACGTTACTATTCGATACGTTACTCTTCGATACGTTACTATTCGATACGTTACTATTCGATACGTTACTCTTCGATACGTTACTCTTCGCGTTACCCTTCGATACGTTACCCTTCGATACGTTACCCTTCGATACGTTACCCTTCGATACGTTACCCTTCGATACGTTACCCTTCGATACGTTACCATTCGATACGTTACCCTTCGATACGTTACCCTTCGATACGTTACCCTTCGATACGTTACCATTCGATACGTTACCCTTCGATACGTTACCCTTCGATACGTTACCCTTCGATACGTTACCATTCGATACGTTACCATTCGATACGTTACCATTCGATGCGTTACCCTTCGATACGTTACTATTTGATACGTTACCATTCGATACGTTACCATTCGATACGTTACCATTCGATACGTTACTATTCGATACGTTACCCTTCGATACGTTACCATTCGATACGTTACCATTCGATACGTTACCATTCGATACGTTACCCTTCGATACGTTACTATTCGATACGATAGACTTAATTTTCCTCGTAAGGAAATATGTTTTGGACCCAAATCATAAACACTACACGGCACACGATAGAAGACATATTCACACATGACTACATGAACACAAATACACAGAATAAACCGAGAGATGCTCCGATAAACAAACTCACCGGACATTTGAATAACTTTATCAGCAGAAACACGTTCACCAAACCCTCGTTGCATCCTGTCTGAGCAGTCTGCTTTATTTACTATTTAATCACTAAATCCATCATAATAATGTTCCACCTGTCCATCTCTTGTGATTTAATTTAAATTCATAACATTATCACGCAGAAGGTTAAAGAATTCATATAAAAACGAAGAATTATCCCGTGATGTGACCTCGCTCTGAAGACAAGCAGCACTTTAAGAAAGCAACAGAGCACCAACACAAAAAGGAATTACAATTTAAACTTATTTTTACGTGTGCATTTTAGATGCTACACAAGCAGGGAGTGACGACCTCCCTGTAAACAAATACATAATAATAATAAACACAAACAAACAACGGATTCTCCAACAAACGACCGGCGAAAAAGTATATATATTTTCCCACAGGAACATCAAAGTATGTAGATAAATGTAACACAGTATATATAAGTATATAAATGTAATTTATATTTAATCCTAACACTTTTGACTGAAGGTGAAGTGTAGAAATATGCAAGATGAACGGCGTCCCGAGCCGAGGACGTGCACAAACACGTAGAAATAATTTAATTTAAACTTGTGACGGTTTTATTTTTGACGAGGCGGCGAAGGGAAGAGGATCAAGTACGTTTTTAGAGAATAATAACTATAATAAATATACACTTTTTGCCATTTTTTTAAAATAATGACTGTACATTTTTAAAGTGTTTTGTATGCATGTTCATTTATTAAAGGTGAAACAGAGACTTTGAGCACTGGATGTCTTGATAGACGTGGAGTAAAACTACTGTGAACGAGCATTTTATTTTATTTTTTGTTATGTTGTTATCTTAAAATGTGAAACTTTTTAAGCCACCAGTTTAAATGATGTACATATTGTCCTCTGTTTAATCACGCCTCTCCTTTGTGTTGGACACATTTAAAGCACCTTTTAAAGTTATATGACTTTAAAATATGTTAAAATATATCGCAGGGGATATCTTTCTTCTTCTTTTGTTGCAATTAATACAAGAACTGCAAATGTGGATCCATCCGCCACTGAAAATAGTCCCCAACAAACCACAGGAAAATAATGATTGTTTTTTTTATTTTTAAATATAATTAAACTACATATTTACAAGCCTTTTCATCTTTTTTTTAAAATGGTATTTTCCTGCACAAACTCAGCTGTTACACTTGAAGTGAATTTAACACATTTGAAAACTGCTAAAAGCACCTTTTTAGGATGAAATCCCAACACGACTGTGTGGTGTTATTCTCACACTGTACATTATGATTAACAAGTTTCTATTTTATTTATTTAAATAATTTGAGTGATATTGGAGATAATTAACACAGAGAGAGAGAGGGGAAAGTTGTGTTGATATACACACACTGACATGATAAACATACGGTGTTAAATGTTACATTTAAAGGCTGATTTGCTCGATGTCCACTTTGATCAATAGGTGCACCAAGCTAAAGCTAATGCTAGTAGAAGCGTCCTGCAGGAAATCCTTCATTAGGATTATATTGTGTATGAATTCTGTAATTTTTGTATATGCATGATAGAAATCCCTTTTAATTAAACAAAATTAAACCTCTAAAATGGTCATGAAGTTACTAATAAAAATTACAAACTTCAAAAAGATGGATTTATTACAGGACTGACTGTTAGCTTGGTGTAGCTAATGATAGCAAACTTAGTTTATTCTCACTCCTCCAGTAAAGTAACGTTTGGGGAAAAAAAGTTAACTATGCAAAGCCTGCTACGATCACAGACGTTTTAATATTCGATGTCCACTTTAAATTATTTAGGGTTTGTTGTACGGTGGCCGACAGGTGCAAACGTGCTGCAGCTTCAGAAAGGATGCAGATATAAAAACCCAAATGTTCCACATGAAGAAACATCTCCAGCAACTTGACAACACATTCAGCTTTTAGAGAACATTCAGCACCTTGAGGAGACATGCGCAGCGTTTACTGAAAGCTGCAGAAACCAAACGCTGCAAGAAGCTCAAACACAACGGAGACCAGGGGACACTAAAGAGTGACGCACACAGCTGGAGACCAGGGGACACTAAAGAGTGACGCACACAGCTGGGAGACCAGGGGACACTAAAGAGTGACGCACACAGCTGGAGACCAGGGGACACTAAAGAGTGACGCACACAGCTGGAGACCAGGGGACACTAAAGAGTGATGCACACAGCTGGGAGACCAGGGGACACTAAGAGTGACGCACACAGCTGGAGACCAGGGGACACTAAAGAGTGACGCACACAGCTGGAGACCAGGGGACACTAAAGAGTGACGCACACAGCTGGGAGACCAGGGGACACTAAAGAGTGACGCACACAGCTGGGAGACGTTCAGGATTATGAAGCTGAACAACTGTCTCTGTTATTCTGTCTCATAACTGTGAGAGTTTGTCAGTATATCTGAAATGACTAGCTTCACTCTTTAGTGTCCCTTGGGGTGTTTCTCAATGTCGAGGAAGGCTGCTCCAGAGCCACTATTCCAAGCATACTAGGTCATCGAGTGCCACCGAAGCACGGTTCCAATGTCCAGCATACTTGGAATTCTACCGAGACCGGCGTACTTCGTAGCGAGAAATGTCGAGGCTGCACATGTGTAGACTCCGCGGTCTTAGAATCCCCACAATGCTTTGCGCACCGACCAATTTCCAAATCTTTGGCGGAGATCGCGCTCCATTTAAGGCGGGGCCTCGCATATGACGCACACCTGCACACCTGTTAGGCTGTTCCACCATTCTTTGTTTTCCGAGGCTGGGAAGGATTCTTGCCTCGCTTCTGAAGGACCTGACTCGGAAGACATGTGCTACCAAGCAAGCGTCCTCGACATTGACAAACACCCCTGGTCTCCCAGCTGTGTGCGTCACTATTTAATGTCCCCTGGTCTCCCAGTTGTGTGCGTCACTCTTTAGTGTCCCCTGGTCTCCCAGCTGTGTGCGTCACTATTTAATGTCCCCTGGTCTCCCAGTTGTGTGCGTCACTCTTTAGTGTCCCCTGGTCTCCCAGCTGTGTGCGTCACTCTTTAGTGTCCCCTGGTCTCCCAGCTGTGTGCGTCACTATTTAATGTCCCCTGGTCCCCCAGCTGTGTGTGTCACTCTTTAGTGTCCCCTGGTCTCCAGCTGTGTGCGTCACTCTTTAGTGTCCCCTGGTCTCCAGCTGTGTGCGTCACTCTTTAGTGTCCCCTGGTCTCCAACTGTGTGTGTCACTCTTTAGTGTCCCCTGGTCTCCAGCTGTGTGCATCACTCTTTAGTGTCCCCTGGTCTCCAGCTGTGTGCGTCACTCTTTAGTGTCCCCTGGTCTCCAGCTGTGTGCGTCACTCTTTAGTGTCCCCTGGTCTCCGTTGTGTTTTGAGCTTCTTCAGCGTTTTGTATTTGCAGCGTTTGGTTTCTGCAGCTTTCAGTAAACGCTGCGCATGTCTCCTCAAGTTGCTGAATGTTCTCTAAAAGCTGAATGTGTTGTCAAGTTGCTGAAGATGTTTCTTCATGTGGAACATTTGGGTTTCTATTTCTGCATGTTTGGGCCGTTGTAGCGCGTTTGCACCTTTCGGCCACCGTACATTATACTGACCTCTCACTTCGAGTAGCACTCAGCATGTTGAGGCACTAAAACTCAAACACACTTTTTTTGTACACTTAGTTTTTGGTACACACTGTGATGGAAAGAGGAGGGGTTGTATTTCTGTGTACATAAACAAGCAGAGAGTATTTATACGGACCATAAAGAGCAAACCTTGTAAACATGTAGATTGTGACGTCTCGCCTTTCTGATGTTAAACTGTTTTTAAACCTAGAAAACAGAAAACAAAATCTCCTTTTGTCGAATTATTCTGATTTATTTCAGGGCAGCTGAGGGTTTATTATTATTATTATTTTGTGTATTTTTGCATCAACGACAAATCCAGATAGTGACTATGATGGGATGTCTTTGTACAACGATGCTAATTTCTTCTGTGTATATAAAAGTCTCTATTGTGTTAGCATGGGTATAAACTGTGACGTGTCTGACAGTAGATGTAAATAATCACGTTTCTTTTTTCCTACTCACTAAACAAACTGCTGTGTTGTGGATTCATGATTAATGACATTAAACAATAATG